TAGCATATAGTAGGAGCTCAATAAACATAATGGATGGTTTATTAGTGAGAAGACCAAATGACCCAGCCAACACCTGTAGTCCTGGTGTGATTATCAATAGCACAGCCTCTCACTCTTAAAAGGTTCTATTTGGACAATAAATGATGGTATATATGACTATTACCATCTCCTAAAGCCCTCTCCCCAGCTTTGACTCTGGGGCTCTGAAAAGATTCAAGAGTCTGTCATTTGGGTCCCAGAGTCCCACAGAGGGTTATAAGCAACTTTTTTTTTTTTTAATATATTTTATTGATTTTTTACAGAGAGGAAGGGAGAGAGATAGAGAGCCAGAAACGTCAATGAGAGAGAAACATCAACCAGCTGCCTCTTGCACACCCCCCACCGGAGATGTGCCCTTGACCAGAATCGAACCCGGGACCCCTCAGTTCGCAGACCGATGCTCCACCACTGAGCCAAACTGGCTTTGGCCATAAGCAACTATTTAATGTCAAGGCACAAGAATGTGGTCGGTAGGTAGGCAGGCAGCTCACAGATGCAGCGGAAATATTTGTTTAATGTTTGTGTGTTTCTTTACTTCACCAGCAGAGAGGTCCCCTCAGCCCAGTAATTGGCAATGTCCACGCACATACACATGTGGAGTCAGAGTAAACAAGCCAGCTCCTCAGAAAGCCAGTTCATGTTGAAGAGGGGGTATGTTTTCTCATGTGAAGAGGGGGTGTGCTTGGTGTAAGCACTCCCTCATTCATCGCATGTCTCCTGCAATCCCCGTTTCCTTTCCTCGGTGGAACAGGCCTGTGTGATTCACTCACATGGTTGGGAAATAAAACACTTGAGTTGTAAACTCAGAGTTGGGAAGAGGCGAACACTGAGCTGGAGAGTGTGCTCCGAGTCAACACTCATCGCTTTGGCAGGCTCAACAAACAGTGTTTTGGAGTGTTAACAGCCCTTAATGGCGACTCTCACTGCTGTTAGTTAAACAAACAGGCGCTGAGTGGAGGAAGGCGGTGCGTGGCCTGTCCCCACGGTGACCATGACTGATTGTATCCACCGGCCTCCATGACCTGATGGGCACTGCAGCTGGGCTGGGCCCCTGGGAGAGCTAATGGCATTTGCCACCTTAGAAATGCAAACCTCAATGTCTACACCCAACTGGCACACTGGTCGACCGTAGACCTGGTGCCACTTTCCAGTGGGAGAGGTGACCTTTGGAGAAGGAATTTGGGTGTTTAAATATTGGCATTTCTGGAATATTTTCATGACTTACAGCACCCGTGGGGCAGAACGCTCAGGAAAATGCCAACGCTCCTGTGAGACTGTACTGGGCATCGCTGCTCATCTCCTGGGCGGGAAGACCTGGCGTCGGAGGGCTGGGCAGGCAGCAGAGAGGTTTTCCTGCAAATGGCTGTGCTGCCCCCAGTAGGCTCTACTCTCCACGTTGAGCTGCCCCACCATGAGCTTGTTTTAAATATCAGCGGTGATTTGGACCAGCTGCTCTCCCTCTGTTTGTTCACAACCAATCATAACCCCCCTACCCTCCCATTCCCCCAGGTGCTCTTCAAGCACCACTCCCCTTCTCTGGGAAGCTTCTTTCTTGCTTCCCTTCCACAGCCCTAAAGGGAACTTACCTTTTCTCCTCTGAATTCCTGCATACAAGCTGCATGTAAGTTACTTGTGTTGCCTGTCATCAATGCAGCTACCTGTACTCCAGTGATTGGAAATGCTGGCTGCGTATTTAAATCACTTGGGGGCCATTAAAAAGAATGTTCTCCACGTGATGCTTGTAGGCAGCTAGAGCTGAGGACCACCACTTTTCCTTTAAAGAAATGGCGCTTCTGTTCGTCTGGGGTAGGTCCAGGAATTTCCATTCCTAACCAGCATCCTGGGCAGGGTCTCCCAGTTCATGTTCTGGTCTAAATGGAGCCTGAGAGCTAGCAGATCGCTATCGTTTATAAGGAGAAGCCTTTCATCTTCTGGGCCTTATGATGCCATTGGCATAAACAAGATTAGAGGTCAAAGTTGAGGCAGAGATGAGTCGTTTTACTTCATAAAAGAGAGAGGGCTGCAGAGGCTTCCAACTCTGCAGTCAGTGCACTGGTCCTCCACCAGGCCTGAGATCTGAGCCCCAGCCAAGCCAGTCACAGCAGGATTCCTTTGGAGCACCTTGAGAATGAGCATGCGCGCCCCACCCACACTCTTGCAGCTGGCAGCAGAGAGCCTGGTGAAGGACCAGGCCTCGGCCATCGCAGCTCTGGAGTACCTGCCCGCTGAGCTCTTCCCGCAGCTGTTCTTGCAGGCCTACCTTGGTAGACACTATTCAGTCCTGACTGCGATCACAAAAGCCTGGCCCTTCGCTGTCCTCCCTCTGGGGAGCCTGAATGATCTACCTCCTGTCGATGTCTTAAAAGCCGTGTTGAATGGGCTTGACGTTCTGCTTGCCCAGGAGGTTCGCCCCAGGAGGTGCAAACTGCGGGTGCTGGATTTAAGGTACATGGATTCCGACTTCTGGACAATATGGTGTGGAGACAACATCCAGGAATACTCATCGATTTTTCCAGTGACTGAGCACAGGTCCAGCCCCAACATGGAGCACCCTTTAGCTCCCATGGAGGTGTTCCTAGACCTTAACTTCAATATAAACAACAGGACAAAGGTTTCCATGTACGTCATCCAATGGGCCCAGCAGAGGAAAGAGCTGCTACACCTGTGCTGCAGGAAGCTGTGGGTTGCTGGAGTGCTCTTCCACAGGGCGAGGAAGTTCCTGGATGTGGTGCAGCTGGACTGTATCCAGCAGGTGAAACTGAACTGCACCTGGCACCTGACCACCCTGGAGATGTTTGCTCTTTATATTGGGCAGATGAAGAACCTGCAGAAACTCTATCTCTTCCACATCCAAGTGCTGGGTGAAGAGGGGGAGGAGGAGGAAGATGAGCTGGATTGGGAGGAGGAAGAGGAAATGGATTGGGAGGATGATGAGGAGCAGGATTGGGAGGATGATGAGGAGCAGGATTGGGAGGATGATGAGGAGCAGGATTTGGAGGAGGAAGAGGAAATGGATTGGGAAGAGGAGTGGGCGGGGGAGGAGCAGGAGGAACAGATATCCTTTTCCCAGTTTTTCTCTCAGATGCTCAGCCCACTGCACCTCCGCGAGCTGGTCCTGGATTCCCTCTCCTTCCTCCAAGGACGTCTGCACCAGATGCTCAGTTGCCTGCAGTTCCCCTTGGAAATACTCATCATAAAACATTGCGGGCCCCTTACCCATTCAGACCTGGAACACCTGTTCCAGTGCCCGAAACTCAGGCAGCTGAAGTCCCTGCGTCTGTATTGTGCCAGCCTCGCTGATTTTAGTCCTGAGCCCCTCCGATCTCTGCTGGAGGCATTGGCACCCACCCTCCAGGTACTGCACCTCGAGAACTGTGCCATGGTGGACTCTCAAGTGGAAGCCATCCTGCCTGTCCTGAGCCACTGTCACCAGCTGAGAGAGTTCACCATCATAAAGAACCACCTCTCTGTGGCCACAATGGAGAAGCTGCTGCACCACACAGCCGGGCTGCGCAGCTTAGAAATTGAGCATTACCCAGTCCCCCAGGAGTGTTACACGGCCCAGGACACTGTCGACCAGGACAGACTCGCCCTGGTCCGGGCTGAGCTGAAGGGGATTCTGAGGGAGTTAGGACAGCCCAGGACCATCAAGCTTGCCACCGACAGGGACTCCATCGAGTTTTATGACGTTGAATTTTCATGACTGGGAGCCCATGCTGTGCCCTGTATGGACCCTGCTCAGTGGGTGCACCCAGCAAAGGCTTCTTTCTGGGCCTTTGGAAGCTGAAACTTGGAATGGGGTTTCAATTTCATGCTCAGTGTGAATAGGAAAAGGGAGGGACACAGCCAGGAAACAGGATTGCAGGGGCAAAGGACGGGGAGTTCATGGAACCTCAAAGGCAATGTGTCCTACAATCAGAAACATGAATCTCATTTGCGTGGGGAGGGGACAGAATTGGGGCTTGAGCTTCTTGTGTGGGAGTGAATCCTGGGATGGATGATTTTATTTTATTTATTTATTTATTTATTTTTAATCAATCTTTATTGTTCATATTATGACAAAGGTTCCTCATTTCTTCCCCCCTCCACCAGGTTCCCACCCCACCCTCTGCCCCCTTCCCCATCCCCCATTGTCCTCATCCATAGGTGCACAGTTAATGTACAGTCTCTTCCTCCCTCCCTTCCCCACCCCCCCAGAACAGTCAGTCCACTCCCCTCCCATATCACTGACTCTACTACAATGAACCGCTATTATTGTTCATCAGGTTTTTCAATCTCCTTTTGTTGTTGTTGTTGTTTTTTAATTAATAAACTTTTTACTTCTAGGAATAAATTTTAAAATCTAATAATTTTAAACCTTGTTTTTTTTGTTTTTTTTTCCTGCCCTGGGAATTGAGAGCAAACTTGTTTACATGTAAACTTGCCCTTAGGCTATCAAAAGGTGTAGCCATTTAAGTGTAAATGGACACATTGTTTAAACATAGCTGCTGGTTGGAATTGGATTACCTGTTCTGGGTAGGAAGGGCTTGTCATTCCCTTTCTCCATTAAAATTAAGGTGTTAGCTTTAAAACCTCTTTTTGGCAAGAGACCTTAAACTTTCAGAACTTTAAATTTTTCAGATAGTAAATCAGTTACTTAGCATTTTCTCAAATCAGTAACACCTCCACATGCCCAATGATACACCCCACACAAAAGACATTTCCAAATAGATCAACCAACCTCATCCAGGCCCCACACAAGGCACTGACAGATCAACACCCCAGCGCTATACTAACTCAACACATCCAGATCTAAGCCTTCCTCATTTGATTCAGCAGACCCTCAAGTTCCTCCAAAAGTTTCCAGCCATGTCTGAGAGGCAGCCTTGGGGCGGAGGCAGGCAAGGAGCGAGCTGTTCCGGGCCTGGCTGCTCCGGGCCTGGCCTCTGTTGCTCTGGTCCGTTCCACAACCAGCTGCTCCTTGTCTGGCCACTGCCGCTCCCGACCTGGCTGCTTCGGGTGTGGCTGCTGCTGCTCCGGGCCTGGCCGCACCTGACCCGGCTGCTCTGGGCCCAGTTGCTCTGGGCCCGACCACTCCGGGCCAGGCCGCTCCCAGCCTGGCAGCTGCTGCTCCGGGCCTGGCCGCACCCGACCCGGCTGCTCGGGGCCTGGCCGCTGAATCCTGGGATGGATGATTTTAAAGGAATGGTGAGAAATAAAGACAATTTCAAAGGCAAAAATTAAAAATAAAAAAAAGAGAGGGCTGAACATGGGCGGGAGAGGGAGATTATTGGGAACTGGGATGGAGCAAACTGGGATCAGAAAGCCTGGGGAAAGGGAAAGCAGGAAACCATGACCCTGGCAATAGCCATGTCCCAGAACCAACTCTGAGAGATGGAAAGAGTTCAAGAGAATGTTGTAAATTGTTTGCTCCAGGATGTGCGAAGCCATCTCGTCCTCCATCGCCCCTTAGGAATCTTCAGTGAAGAGGTGCTGGGAGCCTTCTCTTCTCTGCACTGCACTGGCGGGGGGGGGGGGGGGGGGGGGGGGGGGGGAGCACGGAGGCAGGTGGGAGGATGGAGGACGTGAAGGGGCAAAGTGAGAATTGAAGGACAGCTCACATCTGGCTCACGTGTGGATTTCGTCCCCAAACACAGCCTGTTTCCCAGGTGTTAGCAAGCATTTGTGAAACAAATGGGACAACTACGGGAAGCGCAGGAGACCCAGTTCCTGCTGCTGCCAAGGATGGACGAGGGCAGACAGAGAAGCGATGCAGGCGTTCCCTTGTCCGAGTGCAGAGGTGGTCCTGACCCTCTCAACGTCAAGCTACATAACCAACAAGTCTTTTCCCAGAAAGAGCCGGCAAGCTTAAAGCTCATCAAACAGAAAAACTACTCATGTGATATTGGCTTGGCTTTGGGAGATTGGCTATTGTTATTGTTTTTGCAAAGTTTGGGGGGAAAAAACACACAAAAAAACAACTAAGCAGGGCATTCAAAACACATGGAGTACACATCTCACATAATATCTATCCTGATGTGCACACTGATTGAAAAGCAAGTAGAGTGAGGGAGGTCATATACCCCTCCTCTTCTTACACCCCCCCCCAGCCCCACCTCTTGAGGGAGATTTTGTCCTGAGTCCCATCTGTGCTAAGCAAAGGGACAGACACAGCCAGTGACAGTTCAGAGGTGCCCAGCTCAGCACCAGCTCTTCCCTTCTCCTGCATGTTATTCTGCTTTGCCCAAAGCTGTGTGTACTATTTCTAAACCAACAGCGTTCACATTAGGGATGTTGGCAACAACTGTCTTAGGACTAACACTGACTTAGAGACATAAGGACGAACCAGGAGCGGGTGCACTCCTTCCCAGTGCGCCTGAGGTGGATAGACAGCCTTTGTCTTCATCGGCCCAGCATCCTTGCTGCCTTTGGGCAACTCCCTTCTTGGCTGTGTCATGCCAGTAGAGCTACAGATCTCCACATCTAGCAGCATTCCTTCCTGATTCCATGGTGGGACCTGTGTCCAAATCTACACATGGGAAGAATGCTATATTTCACAGTTCCTGTGAGGACTAAGACATGTACGAGCTCAAAAAATGGTGGCACTTGACTAGTATCCACATTAATGACCTCGAAGTGATACCAGATTCCTCTCCTTTACATGGAAGGAACTGTTCCACATCAAATGGCTAGGAAATGGCAGGCAGAGGAGAAAAACATGGCTATGTGCTGGCACTGTCCTAAAGCATTTGAGGTCCATAGCATTATGCCAATTTTACAGAAAGGGAAACTGAGCCATAGAAAGAATAAGTGACTTTTATTCAAGGTCACAAAGCTTAGTAAGTGGTAGAAAACAGTTGTGTGTTGTTCCAAAGCTGTATTCTCCTCTGCCCACCATCCTGCCTCACCCGGTGCCCTGGCTGTGGGCACCATGCCCCCTTTGAACACAGTCCTCCACAGTCACAGGCTCTGGCATTAGCAATCAAGGCTCCGATTCCCACCCACGTCCAGGCTCAGCTGCTGGCTCTGAAGCAGACACAGGTCTAGTTACATGGCACAGGGCTGGGGTGGCAAAGCCCTCGGTGCCTGTTTGTCTACTTTTGCCTTCTCACCCAGACCTTTAGTGAGTCAATGATGGTCAAACCAAGGACAGTGTGTGCCCAGCTCACTCCAACTTACCGGGAAGGTGTCTGCAGCCCTGAAGGTCACTGGGTAAAAGTGTCAAAGCAGTCAGACAGATGGCCTCTCTCCTCCTCGCAGGAGAGAGCTGTTTGTTGAGCAAAGGGCTCAGGGCATCCTCTCCACGTCCCACACAGGCTTGAATCACCAGCCCCTATTTCCAACCACAGATGTTTTCTTGCTCAGAGCCCAGGTTCCACATGGGGCAGGATCTGCCAGAGCTCTAGAAAAAGCTGAGAGGAAAGAAATGTGAATCTGAAGTGTTGTTTTCACCACTATAAATCCAACCGCCTGGTTCCGAGCCCAATACCACCTCAGTATTGCCCCACGTTGGGCAGAGATTTCCACTCCCCTTCCATAGCATCCAATTGTCACTGGCACACAGGGTGCCATGTCAGTGCTCCCATTTCCCATCACCCTTGCTTCTGTGGTGGTCATGTGACACTTCTCACCAATCGAGCGGAAGTGATGTGTCTCGCTCGTGGCCAAGGAATGCCTTCTCCACCCTCTTTTTTATCCTAGAGAGAAAGAAGCCACAGGTAGGAGTCATGGGTCCTTGACTCACCATAGGGAAGGCTTGCTGGGGACCAGGAATACCCACATAGATAGATGGGTGAGTGAGAGGTTTTATTATATTGAAGCCACTGAAACATTCAGATTTGTTTATTAAAGCAACTAACATTACTCTTGTTAGTACACCTGAGGGCTGGGATAGCAGCATGAACTTGGATGGGACCTTACACTGTGCCCAGAACTTCATCTCTGGTATCTCTAGAATCCTTATACTATCCTGGCCGATAATTGCCATCCCCATTTCAGACCACAGAAACCTTGATTCTGGGATGTTAAAACATTTGTTCTACATCATATGACTAGGAAGTGGCAGGCAGAGGAGGCAAACAAATTGTCTATCATTTGTAAGAAGCCTTCCCTTTTGCCACCTCAAGACAGTTTGATCCTGCAGGTCCATCAGAAAGAGCATCTTTCCACAGTTGTCCCTGGGCATGATCTGCCACCCAAACAAGATGTATTCATCTATAGGACTCTTCCCCAAAGGGAACCCTCACAGGGGTATAAATCCATTCCTAAACCCTCTCCCCTAGGTCTGGCACAGACCCCAAAAAGTAGCAGCAATTGGGTTGAAGTCCCTTTGGAGTGTAACGTAGTTTGTTAAAGTGAGTCTTAAACTTGCTATTGGCAGGTCATAGGAAAACAGAGTTCCAATAGATTTCCCCACTGAGGTGACTCAAAGTATTTAAATTAAAATTCGCAAAGGTGGCCAAGTTGTAAAGTGTGAGTTATGCCGTACTGAGATTCAATGCAGGCTCACCTGGCAATAGTGGGAAAGAATATCGGCCTGAAATGAGAAACTGGATGCCCAAGGCCTGACTCCCTTAATGTTTTGAGCAAAACAGAACCTTTCTGAGTCACAGCTTCCTCATTTCTAAAAAGGGGGCAAGGGTGGAGAAGGTGCTACCCCATTTTTCTTAAAATGTATTGAAGAGATTTCCCTGTCTTTTTTCATCTTAATGCTCAGCATTTTCAGGCTTCAGCAATCATACCCGAATCATTGCAAGCGGTCCCTGGAGGTGTGTGTATGGGGACCCGGGGGGGGGGCGGGAGGGGGGGAGAGGGGCAGGTAGCGTGGGGAGGGAGGCTCCAGTGCCTTCTGCTCCTACTTCCCTCCTCCCTGTACCCTGCACACCCCACCATTCTTAGGATAAAATCCAAGCTCCTTTGACTGCCATTCAAAGTATTCCTGATATAAACCTGACCTTCATTTCCATTGTATATTTCTTTACTTCCATCCTTCATCCTACACTGGACTCCAATGACAAGCTTACACTCCTCTGTGTGCCTTTTGCTATTTATTCTTTAGTTGCCCTGATATGCAATTCTCTATTCTGTTACACATTCAAACCTTACCCATCTTTCAAGGCCAATGTCAGTACAACCATGTTCCTGATGTCCACAACTGGGATTCCCATCTCCCTCTTCTAAGCTCAGGAAGCAGGATTCATTAGGCCATGGTATAGTGCAAATTTGTGGATTTATTATTTGATTTCATTTCTTATCTCCCTTCCCAAATCCTTTGGAAAAGAATTCCACCTCTTTCATCTACACATTCTCCAGCACCTAGAATTATGCCTGTTCCAATGTTGGTGTTTCATACGTTTGCTAAGTTAATTTAAAATCATAAGTCAACTAAAGAGTCAGACAAGGCAATTGATAAGAGGGAGAATTAGAGTCAGGCATGCTGCAGTAATAAGTTAAGTCCTGAAATTCAGGACTTAACACAATGGAAGGTTACTTTCGCTCTTCTCACCAACTCTTATAAGTTAGGCAGATCCTCAGAGCAGAGCTCCTCTGGTCAATGAAGCAGGAACCCAGTTCCCTTCCATCCTTCAAGCACCTCTGCATCCTGAGTGCTTTGCTTCTAGCTGTGCAGATATGGTCGAGAGATTGAGGAAGTCTGCATAGGCACTTTATGGCTGGGCTGGAATCGGTGGACGTTCTTCACATTTGAAGGGTTGTCTATGAAACCAACAGTAGAGAGCTGGTTGAAACATGGGCCCCACCTGAGACCTACTGAATCCAACCCTGCAAGTGATGGGTGTGTACATTACCACATGAAAGGCACTAGTGGTCATCATTTCTGCGCATGTTCCATTGGCAAGAATTCAGTCATGAGGCTCAAACTGACTATGAGGAAAGCTGGGGAAATGTATCCTATCCTGATGCCTCGGAAGAGGAAATGGGTTTTGCTAGCCATTAAACACTGCCTCATGCAGGTCAGAGCGTCGGGTTCATTCCCACACCAGGTTAACCGAGTCCTAGGGGAACTCTGTACCTCAGCCACCCGCTTTGCAAAGTAGGGGGTGGTGGAGTGTCTATGTCTGGCTGAATAAGGGAGGAGCTGTGTCAAGATCGTGGGATCCAGCAGAAAGGCGGGGACTCCAGTATATAGAGGAGAGAAATGAAAGCCAGGTGAAAAGACACAGTAAAGAAGGCTTGCAGCTAATGGAGTTGAAAGAATATTTAAACAGGAGTGTATTCTGGAGAAAAGAGCTCCCTGCTGCTCCCACCAGTGATCCTTCAACCAGTGCAAAGACCACAGGCAGCCTCAGGAGCAGGCTGCCACAATCCAGTGTTCATTTTCCATAAAGTTTTGACCTGCTGGATCCAACTGTTTTCAGTATTTCCATTGGTCATCGTTTCTGGTTCTCATTAGTTGACATTTATTTTAATTATTCTGTGACTCTATTTTTTCCAGAACACAAGGATTTAAGGTTTACATACTTTCATCTTTATGATTGGCTAATGAACCAGCACTGAGTTGGGGGAGGGGGAGAACGAGAGTGTAGGAAACTTTAAAATCCCTTTTTTTCATGTAAATGTGTAGAAAACTTAACAAGAAAACTCAGAGGTCCTTTGTAATATTTGTGCTTGCTGGTGTTTTACTTGGGAAATGCTGTTGAGCCAGCTCTGATCTTAAGTTTTAAAGCGTTTCATAAAAATAAAAAAATAAAACATAAAATTTCATAATATGAATTAGTTTCATCTTGCATGTGCAAGACGCAGGGGGGAAAAAAACCAACCCTGAAGCAATGAAAATTTCCCCATCAACACTGAGCATATAAACGTTTATAGCCAAGCATCCCTTGTCCAAATGTATTGTGCTTTAGCTTTCAACTACAGGAAAATAGAAGATTTAAAAACTCAGTAGAAAAAGAAAATAAATCCTTAAAAAGTACGTATCTAAAGAAGATGTGGTATATATACTGTATACCCTGGAACACTACTCAGCCAAAAGATGAAATACTGCCATTTGTGACAACATGGTTGGACCTTGAGAAGATTATACTAAGCAAAACAAGTCAGGCAGAAAAAGCTAAGAGCAATATAATTTCACTCATACGTGGGCTATAAAACTGAAATTCTTAGACAGAGACAACAGCATGATGCTTACCAGAGGGAAGGCGGTAGGGAGAGTGGCGAAGTCAAAGGGGACAAATATTTGGTGATGCAAGATGATTTGACTTTGGGTGGTAGACACACAAAGCAATATATAGATAATGTTATCATAGACATGGGCACTTGAAACCTATATGATCCTGTTAGTCAATGTTACCCCAACAAATTTAAATTCTTTAAAAAGTATGTATTATGGAAAGCATTTCTAGTGTGAGCATAAATTGACATTTTATTTCCATTCATGTGATTTAATAGTATGAGTTAAAATAGTGTTATATAATTCCCAAGTAAAACACCAGCAAGCACAAATATTACAAAGGACCTCTGAGTTTTCTTGTTTAGTTTTCTACACATTTACATGAACAGGGAATTTTAAGCTGCAAGGGTGAATGGATAATGTACATACACTATGGGAATGCCATCAGTCATGGAATAATTCCTGCATTGTTAAAGGGCCATATGTGTTTTCCTTTTGCTTTCATTTAAAGGTAGGCCACCTCTCTTGACTTTTACAACTTCCAACTTTACCTCTCCAGAATCCACCTTGCTCCTAAACATCATGCTTATAAAACCAATTCAATGTTGGACACCCCTATTTTCAAAAGTATCTTACCATCATCTCCCAAAATTTCTCATTTTGTGTTTCTAAGAAAGTATTCAAGTTTTCATTGAATTATTGAGGGAAGTAAAGAATCACTCTTCATGTTCCTCAGTTTTACTTCCACAAATTAATATGATCCTTTCTATACATCTATGTTTACCCCACTTCTCAAAAAATAAAAGTGGATATTTTAAAATCTGCAATATAACGCAATAAAAATCATGGGAATAGAAAAATAATTATAAAAATGGAATGAAGCCAGAGGAAGACTGATTCCCAGCACTTCGAAGCAGGAAGTTGGGACACGAATTAGGATCTGAGCTTTCCAAAGGCTAAAGCAAAGTGGGAAACACTGATCTAGGATGTGTGATTCAGAGCGTCTGTCAGATTAAAGGAAGTATATTATTCCCAGCTGTTCATGAGGAGCATGATTTTGTCATATAACAAGAGCAACACCAGCAAATGAGGGTAGTATGGACTTCCATACAAGATGACTTAGGCCAAATGAAACCTGCTTGGTTACCTATCTTGTCTATTTTATCATTATATACTTGACAAATACCTTAGTGAATACTTAAATTAATCTTTCCTTGAGGACTCTTTGAAAAAGAGTGGAAGTGGGCAAAGAATTATCTTATGTCATAGTCTTTCCTATTTCTCTGAGTATGTGATTCTAGTGACCATCCTAAAATGAAATGTTAGTCCAATATCAAGCATATTTAACTGAAGCAGGGTCCTTTATGGTCTGGCTTCAATTTCATCTTGTGCCATGTAGTCTTTAAACCATCAACAATGCACCACTTACTGTCCCTCAAGCACACAGCATTCTCACCCCTCACACCTTTCCTGCATCCCCTACAAAGCACACGCTTACCCCAATTCTCCTCTGCTTCATATTCCCACCCATTTTGTACAACCCAAAACACATTTCTAAATTTCCCCCTGACTCCAGACTTAGGAGCTCCCTGCTTTAGCACTTATCCATAGTGTACCAAGACATCCCTTTAAGTGGCCGCTAACAAAGATAACAAGTTAATATTTATTGAGCACTTACTATGTATATTAAATAAGCACTGAGCTAAATGCTTTAACATATATCATTTTTTAAAATTCTTATGTCAGTGTTCTGTTTTTGAATAACACATCAGTAACAAAACTTGGCAACCTTAGACAATAAGCATTTATTATCTCACAGTTTAGGTGGATCAGGAATGTGGACGTGGCCCTGCTGGATGCCACCGGGTCAAGACCTTTCATAAAGTTGCACTCAAGCTGCTGGATGCAGCTATGGAGTTAACTGAAGGCTGGGAATTCGGTAATTTGCATATGAGGAGTCATTTTACTATGTTTTTTACTTTTTGGGTATGTTTGACATTCTTCATAATTAAAGGCAAAATGAAATCTAAAGATGCATAAAGTATCTAAATCAAGTTAGGAGTGAAGAAGAAAATATAGGGAAAATACTTCAGCGAATCCCTATGATACCTCTTTGAAGGAGGTTTTAATATCCCAGTTTACAGATGAGGAAACTGAAACTCATTGAGATTAGAAGATTCTAGAACTGGAATTCATAGCCATGTCTGTTTCACTACAAAGCCCACATTTTCCTCACTGTACCACACTAATATAGACAAATGTTATCTCTGCATCTAAGATGTTTAGGTTGCACTGGATTCTGGGAATGCATGAGTTTACATTCATGCCCATGTCACAGTGGTGGCTCAGCCTTCATCATCCCCAACTTAACATCTCCTGAAGTTACCTTGTATCTCGCCCAAGCTGAGCCTTAATATCAATCCATCTTCATAGCACTCCTAGTCAGTGGGAATTGTTACCCCCCGAACCAGAAGGGAAAAGAGATTCAAAGAGATGAAGTCACACCTCAAGTCATATAGCTAGATGAGGTGGAGCAGGTTCTGATGAGAATCTAGGGCTATCGGACCACAAAATGATTGTTCTTTCTGTTAGCAGAAGTGCCATTGTAGAATGGTAATCCTATTAAGGGGAAAATATCTACAATGATTTCATTTATATATGGAATCTAAAGAGCAAAATAACAGAACATACAAAGTAGAAACAGACTCATAGATACAGAGAACAGACTGATGGCTGCCAGAAAATGGGGTTGGAAGAGTGCGTTGCAGGGCTGGGTAAAAAACCTAATGACATTGAGAAGTACAGGTTGGCATTACAAAATAGTCATGGGATGCAGAGTACAGCATAGGGAGCATAGTCAATAATATTGTAATAACTAAAACATATATATTGTAATAACTATGGTGTCAGGCGGGTCCTGGAAATATAGGGGAATACATTATAAAGTATGTGATTGTTTAACCACTATGTTGTACACCTGAAATTAATACAAAATAAAATTGAATATAAATGGTAATTTAAAAAATATTTTAAATCTGAACTAGCCGTTCAGTAGCCTGAGTTGTGAGCCCCTTTTCTTGCTGATTACCAAGGAGACCCTTCTCCTATTACTTTCCCAGCTGGCCATGGTCTTCACAACTACACAAGAGAAGCCTGGTTGCAATATCCCTTATGGGATTTTCAAACCGTAGGTCAGACCCATTAGCAAGTACCATGATCAAATCAACAGGGTCACCACAGACATTAAAAAAAAGAGACAAAAAAACAAAGAAGAAAAACCCCATCAGAGTGAAGATGAGCACTGTTTTATCACAGACACACACAAACATACATAGGCATGTGTGTATGTGTATGTTCACTGGTCGTGATCTAAGACCAGCATGTCACTGCGGGCTGCTGTGGAGCGTTTGAAAGTTACTGCTTTAAGGCACCGCTCAGTCTAAGACTCAGGCGAGTTAGGTCTGACAATTTGTAAATGCAAACCCATTATTTTCCTATAGACGCTGTAGATCAACAGAAAGAAGAGGACTTGAGATTCCAACAGACTTGAGTTTGACTTCCAGTTCTGACTTTACGCCCTGGGGCAAGTCATCTCACCTCTTCGGGCTACAGTTTCATCATCTGTAAAATTCAAGCCATAATGCCCATCTTATCAGACAGGCTAAAATAAGAAAATAGAAACACTTAGCACATAGCAATGCTCAAAAAGTGGTACTTATAATCATTATTAATGTTAATATCTTTATGATGACCATTATCATTATTTTAAATTATATTGAAAGTCCTTGTTCACATGTTTCTTTCTTTGTCATTCTATTTCCAAAACACATTTTACTTAAAGCAAATTAAATATGTTGACAGCACATTCATAGTCAGAACTGGAACCAGAAGATATAAAGGCGATGCCACATAGTTCCCATCAGATTTATCAAAAAGGACTTTCATTCATTTCAGAAGTCCCACACTCAGAAGGGTTCCACGTTGGGTTTAATGCTCTTTTGGTGCCATCTTGAAATTGTGAATAATTTTGTCTTTGAACATTTGTTTTGTAAAGTCTGATGGGACAGGGAAACAGACTGGTGAGCCAAAGAGATATAGGCAATGAATGTGTCTACCATTCCTTGACACTCCTTCATATATAGTATCAGCGATGCCTCTTGGGCCCAAAATCCCAGTGGACGCACAATGTGTGGGAGTTCAACAAGGCTCAAACCAAGTGTAAGGTCAGTGTATCACTTCTGTGATGGAGTAAGCTGGGGAATGGGGTGCTGACCCCCCTAAGAGGTCATGCTTTTTATTGAAACCAGAACATGTCTCCAGCCACCAAGCAGGCTGCCATCTGTTTTAGCTAATCACTTTAACCACTCATCCAGCCTCCTTTTAGTCTGTCCTTACTCATCAGAAAGCCAAAGGGGGAGAATGTCGGTAGAATGTGCACATATCAAAAAGTTAAAAAAAAAAAAAGTTGAGTTCATTTTGTGCAGTATTTATACTATTCTGATAAGAATGAAAGGTATAGCCCTAGCTGACTTGGCTCAGTGGATAAAGCATCGGCCTGCAGACTGAAGGATCCCAGTTTCAATTCTGGCCAAGGGCACATGCCTGGGTTACCAGCTCAACCCCCAGTAGGAGGCATGCAGGAGGCAGCCTATCAATGATTCTCTCTCATCATTGATGTTTATGTCTCTTGCTCCTTTTCCTTTCCTCTTGAAACCAATAAGGAAATATATGTTGTTGTTGTTTTAAAAAAAGAATGAAAGGTATTTTTGTGTCTACACTACAGGACACAAATTTCAAATGCAACACATATTTGGAATGCTATTTTGGCAATTCCATATAAGATTTTGTTGGCAGAATTCTGCAAATAGTTGTGAGTGCAGTGCCTTCTAGGAAGTCGGAGCAGGATTTTAGTAGGAGGGCTCTTCCTTCTTCCTCCTCCCCACCCTTCTCTAGCTACCGCCTGTCTC